TAAGGAAGGCAAGGTGCTGGGGAAGTGGTGCGTCCCCCACTGCTATCCTGGTGCGACGTTGGCGTGCGGTCAAGGTGTGCCTTCGGGATGGGGACCTCAGGGTCCCTGAGTGAGGAGGGATGTAGAGTGCTGGGATAACATCATCATAGTCAGACCTGAAAAGGAACCTGAAACCTTTTATCAGCGATTGCTTTCACTCAGAGAAATGGTTTGTTAAATGTTTTCAGGCTCTTCAGAAAACCTACCAGAAAATCCTGCGAGAGAAGGAAAGTGCATTAGAAGCTAAATACCAAGCCATGGAGAGAGCTGCTACTTTTGAACATGATCGAGACAAGGTCAAAAGGCAATTCAAGGTATGGCTTGACTTCTCTTCCTGGGAAAAGGACCAAAAAGAAGATAGATGTCACTTGGTTACATTCCCCAATGAGCTCTTCTCCAATAGCTTTCATGAGGACCTCTCCTTCTTACAAAAAATAATTGGAGTATCATTGCTGTAGCTGTCTGTTTTGCTTAAGATAATCCTGCCAAAACGTCTCTGTAAGACTCTGAGGAAAAAAGGAGAATATGCAGTGATGCAACCGGAACTTAATTCCTGTGTTATTTGAACACAAAAAGACACTCATGTTTGAGAGTGACAGGAAAACCTGGGCTGCAAACTGATACGTGCTGAAGGAACATATAAACACAGAGCTCCATGATTTCTGAATAAATTTTACATATAGTATTGTAATGTTAAACACTTCTAGCTTACATTAAAGAAAAGTGTGTATTGGTGCATCTCTTTGCTGCTTAAGTGTGATACCCAGTTAAAGACGAAAGCCTTTGTGCTTATGGAGGGGTGACTTGAAAGGCCAAGCTGATGCTTCTGCTTTTTCCATGCTGCAGATGGTGATATTTCTCCCACTCAAAACAGGGCAATAGGTCTGGTTTTGCACTGTTTTTGAGATTATTAAGTTTTGGCAGATACATAAAAAGAGGATTGGATTTGACCTTATTTACGAAAATGTGACTTGAAGAAGATATCATCTCTTTGAATTTAGGTTCATGTTTTCTTCCATATGTAAATATAAAAAACCCAAACATGGAGTAATAAAAGGGAGCCTTTGGAAATAGTTATTATGTATGGTGGGTTTAGAAGACAATAACCTTTAAAGGATGTAGAAAGTTACTTACCATTTTTAATAAACTTCCCAAACTAGTGCAGACTTCTAACTCTCTGAACAGTATGCTGAGATACAAAACGGTGAAATAGTGAAAACAGATCATTTTAAACTATGTTTTCCTGCTCATTTATAGGCTCCTGATGGCTTCTTGTTCACATTTTCATGCCTTTGCCTGCTAAATGACTGCTAGAACCTAATTTTTCCAACTGAAACAGATGGTATGTATTGAGGAACTGATACTGATTTTTAGAAGGTTTATGGTTTGTATTTTTCTCTGCTCACAGATTTTTAGAGAAACTAAAGAAAACGAGATTCAGGACTTACTGAGGGCCAAACGGGAGCTAGAAGCCAAGCTTCAGAGACTCCAGGCCCAAGGAATCCAGGTGTTCGATCCAGAAGAGTCTGATTCTGATGATAACTGTACAGATGTTACAGGTGAGAATTTCATCCTCGGTATTTTGTGTCGGATTGTGAGTGAGGTTTCTGAGTAGTACAGCACAAGTCAAGTACTTAGGTCCTTTTGAAAAAAAAGTTTTAACCCAGGTGAAGAGCAACATGAAATAGTTTAAAGGATAAAAGCAGCTGACTTCACAGACTTGGTTTAGATTGTGGGAACCCCACGTTTCTCATCCTGCGAATGAACTGATGAAGAAATAGAGCACTGTCCAGGCACAGTGACTTGAGCGCTCTTTTAAATTGTTCCATGAGCAATTCTTGATTTTTCTAGCGTTTTCTGAGTTTTCTGTTCTGAAGATTCCAAAAGCGCACCTGAAACTAGAGGGAATCTTAGACATACTGTCTATGAATAATGCAGTATGCCAGTTTCAGTTGCTGTCCTTTTCAGAATAGCAGAGTTAGGTATTTAATAACCATGAACTGACCAAAAGAGTTTGAAAGGAAAGTCCTCACAAACTTAATGACATAAAAGGCAAAAGCTGGTTATATGCTGTAGGAAGTATTTGATAGCATGGGAAGGATTCAGATAGGCATGTGATCAGTCCACTGACTTTGTGTCAGGTTCAAAATAGAGCAATAATAGTAGCAGACTTTCAGCACTTTAACACTCTTAAGAATACCCACCATTATTTCTTGTACCATGAAGGGTTACCAAAGAAAAACTGTGTGAAAGTGCTGTTGCTTAACCTATGTTTTGTTTATTGAGATCAACTGTTACATCTTGGCAGGAGTATAAATACGCAATCTAATTTTAAAGTAGAAACATTTCAAAATGCAGTGATTGGCTTTTTGCATAGTAACTGTGCATTTGGTGGACTTCTGTGGTACAGCTAATCTGGTTAATGTACTTTTTTCTGTCTTCTTTTGTGTTAAATTGCTTTTTTAATTCATACTTCCCTTACCTTTTTTTAAGTAATTTTCAATTTCCTGATTTTCTTCATGGAAGATTTATTTAGTGTCTTGAATGTTGTGTATTGATTGGCAGAAGTGTAATCCAAGCATGCTATGAAGAGGTACCATGAAAGCTGTTTCACTCAGCATAGAGACTGTATTTCAATTCTGACCTACTGCTCCTTAATACTTTTCAGTGCTGGAACATTCCTGAACAAATGTTGTCAGTTTTGTGATTTACAAAATGACTGCAGCAATCACGATTTGTCATGCAGGTCAGCATTTGAACCCAACAGATGTCAGCAATCTACATGATAACAGATATTACCAAATAAGCTCATCCTTTAGCTTCACATTAACTTTGGACAAATACCTATTTAGAACTACAGCACACAAAGGTGTGAGCAAATCTGCTAAAGGAGTAAAGATTACAGTCAGTGGCATGTGGCAGTAGGTTTCAGCTGGAGTATTTAAGACTGATAATTTACCTTGTTTAGTGACAATAAAGAGGTGGGTTTTTTTTGTTTTCCAATTCTTAGCTGCTGGGGCACAATCTGAGTACTGGAATGGAGGAGCTTTGGGAAGTGAGCCATCCATGGGTAGTATGATGCAACTTCAGCAGTCTTTCAGAGGACCTGAATTTGCTCATAGCTCCATAGATGTTGAGGGACCATTTGCAAATATAAACAGGGGTAAGTAATGGTGGTTTGTTTGGCTGGGATTATAGGTGTCTGTGTCATTTTTCTATCCATTCTTAAGTAGTTCTGTTGTTCTTAGCTCCTTTTCTGTCTATTCATGGGTATTTGAGGGTTATTTGGAATTCTTCATTGTAAAAATCAAAGTGACTGTAGCTGTACATGCTGTTACTGTTAATATATCTGGTGACTGAGTATGTGCAGCAGTGATTATAGTGAACGGCAGTGACTGGCACTTTGTTGAGGATAAACCAAATACCATTTTGTTGCTTACATTGACTAAGGAAGATAGTGAGGGGGCCATTGGTGGAAATCTGATTAAAAGACCAGGATGTATGCATTGTTATGTGAATCAGTGTTAGATATTTGCTTATCAATAATTGTTGCTCTGGAACTTTGTTTCCCAAATGGCCTTTTGTAAATTGTCTTCTGGTGCTCTGGTTTCCCTCACTGTGTCCTGGCCCTGGAACCCCTCCTGCCATATAGTTTTCTTTGCTGGAGGTTTCTTCCTTTTTCCTTCAGTCCTTCAGGCTCTGATTCAGAAGTGTGTGCCTGCAAAGTGGGAGGGCAGGGTCTGCTCTATGGTGGCTCCTGCTTCATACACTAAGCCTCTCATCATCCCATGTGGTCCTGAAACTAGAACCTACTTTTATCTTGAAAGAATAAACAGCGCAAAATGAAGAACCTAAGAAAGTTTTAAAATTCATTGCTTCCATTGCTTCTGTAGGCTTTTGTGTGCTACCAAGTGACATTCAGTGCTACAGAAAGCAATGGACTTCATCTCAGTAAGAAGTTCCCATAATGTTTCACTGTCATTTATTCACATGGTCTAATCAAAATAAATAAATATGGATCTGGAGGGAAAAGAAAAAACAACTTTAACTATGAATGATTTCATTATTTATGCATATTTTTACTTATTTAACAATTATCAACTTGGTTTTGTGGATACATTTCATCAATCCTCTTTAAAGGAAGTATAATTGTAATGATAATATATTTAACACTGGTTTTGCCACATTATCAAATTCTCCGACATTGATGATACGTCGTCTCTAAATTCAGATTTACAAAATTGGTTTCGTAAAAATACTACTACTGTTTTAAATAACATGAGATATTTATAATGTTAAGACATTATGACTTACCTGTTATGCAGTGTAATCAGGCGTGACGATCTCTAGATTTAATTTGTATTTCTTTCATTGGCAGATGATTGGGATGCTGCTGTTGCCAGTTTATTACAGGTTACTCCTCTGTTTTCCCACTCTCTCTGGAGTAACACAGTAAGATGTTTTGTTATTGGTACTGATGAGACTCAACCAGAAGTGAACATCTTCATTAGAGTGAGTACCTCACAAGCTTACGCTCACTTACGCACTGGTTTGTTTCCACTGTGATACTTACTCAGAAATTCGTTTAATATTTCTTGAAAGCTTTAGTGGGTGTAGCTTGATGTCAGTGGAAGTATTGTCAAGGAATTCAGAGGAAGAAACTGCCTAGAGTAAAGAAACTGAGATGTATCCAGTAGGTCCTTAGTGCTATGCAGGTTTAGTAATGAAACACCATTACTTGAATTTGCTTTCAGAACTACTCACCAAAACTTCAAAGAATCTGTGAAACAATGGGGTACTTCTTTCAAGTTGTCCATTTTTCAGAAGAATGTGAAAGGCCTCTTAAGGATGTAAGAAAATGGGAAATTGAAAAAAGTTCATTAATCGTTTTGCTCCTGCATTTAACATTGCCAAGGTGAGTGTTTTCCAGACTGGTAAAGCAAATGGAAACTGGTAATTTGTGCAGAGTACATAGCTTAGTAAAATGTACGTGATGCTTTGCTCAGTACTTTTCCAAAGCTACTATCTTCAAAGTGATACTCTGTCCAACTTTAGGTTTGCTAGTGTAGACAGTTAAAAGAATACATCAGCTTTGTATCATTTCCTTTTCCTTGTAGCTACAGATACTCTTAAAATACAGCATTGAAAGATGTCTTCATAAGACAGAAATGTTTTGCTTTCCAAGAGCATCTTTCTGTCACGTGTATTGCTGGAGTCTTAGGAATTCAAGGATGGCTGGTGTGAATGTCCTCTGTGTTTTTCATGTGCTTATCTAGCTTTACACCTGGCTGTAGCATTTTGATTTTACTCTGTCACATATAATTTTCTATCTTTGGCTGTTTTTTGGACTGATTTCGTGGCTCTCCTGTGTGGTACCTTATGCTAGCTTTCTACAGCTTAATTTACTGAAATCATGAGGGTTTGTAACAAAAGGTGCTTCCATGTGTTCTGTTTCAGTAAGTAAATTCCTAACCTTCTAGAAGAGGAAATATGACTCACTAAATGAAAAACACCAAACTAAGAATACTTTTAGAATGGTGTTAGGACTGTTTCTGTTATGCATTTGGGAAATTTGGGCAGAGTTTTGATGTTTGGGGGAGGAAGGTTTGTCCTTTTGCTGAATAAGAGAGAAAAAGGGATTAGAAAATGAAATACTAAGGATCATGGAATGGTCATACTAAAACGTCTGTATGAATGCAAAAAGCTGGAAATACTGGTATGCATTAAGTTTCATATTAGGAGTAGATTTTTTACTCTAGGGATTTCAAATACTGTGTGTTATTAGAGCTCTTGTTTTAACTAGACCTCCTGTTCCTGTAAATAAATCGTCTGTCCACAGAGAATTAAAGGCTGGTTTAAGACACTAGTAGTTAAGATTTACATCAGCGGAGTGCTTCAGGGAACAGCCAGGTACTACAGAAGATGTTGGTTTGTTTTCATAGAGGAATCAGACTGGAGCTGCCATCCATTTATGCTGGTAGAAGGATAGTATCAGCTGCCTGGCATATTGGTACTCTGACGGGATAGTGTTGCTAAATAACCAGCTCTGTGTATGTGGGTCATAAGTGTTTAATAATGAAGGACACAAGATAAAAAAGAAACCACACAAAGGGATGTTCCTGCCAACAATATCCATTTAGAGAGTTTCTCTTAAAAAACATATGATGAACATTGTAGTTCTGATATAAACAATATAATATTTGAGAGAGCCTGTCTGCTGTTGTCAGCATCCGCAAGTTGTGCTGTTGTTTCTGTGGAACAGTGGATATCATTCACATATATCAATACAAAGAGCTTTTGAGTTTGGAGATGTGTAGTTCTCCTTTTGAACTACTAAAAATGAGAAGAATATCCTACATCTGTCAAATACTAAAGGACTTTTCCTAAAGAGGAAAAGGAATAGAACAGAGCCTTCAAATAAGTGATGGCAGAGCATGTATTTGGTGTTTATTAATCATGTGTGAATCCATGTTCTTGCCATGCAAGACAGTTAACCTTCACTGTGCATATTGGTATGACAGGAGATCAACTTTTAATTTTCAAAGCAATGATCATAAAAAATAATAAATGTTTTGAATGGTTTTGATGCAGATAGCATGTATTTCTGTCTTAGCTTTTCTTTGCTTCAGAGTTTATCTTAAATTCTCTGCTGATATTTGCTTGCCCTTTGTTGTAAATAGATACGACTTTTGAATTAGATTTTGCAGTGAAACCCTTTTTTGGAGCTTGTGTTGATTGAACTGTTTACTACAGCAGTGTAATATAGCACAAGAATGCTGATTTCCAATCTAGTTGTTTGTTGGAGGACTGTGAAGAAGCCTTCTTGAGAAATCCAGAAGAGAAACCCCGGCTCATTTACCACAGAAAGGAGGATGGCAGAGTCAGTTCAGCTTCAGTGCAACAGTTCATTGAGCAAATCTCTCATGTGAACAAAGCAAAGGTATGCCATTTTAAAGACTGATGACTGCTAGAAGGCTTATTTTCCTGCTATAAACAACATGGAGTGGTAATAGTCCCGCATTTTAGGAGAAACTGCATTGCATTCATTGCTCTGGATGCTCATTATATGAGCAGATTGATGAAGGTGGAATCTATAAATGTTACAAAATTTTCATGAGCAGAGGAGAAAAACAGCCACTGCGTTTTCACTGAGAAGAAATCCCTGTTCTATAAGGATAGAATTTCTCACCTGTGTTTAGCCATTTAAATAGCAAAGTTATTTATCTAATGCCCCTCTGTAGCCATGGAAGAGAAAGACGTATAGCTCCCGAAAGACTGCTCCCATCGCAGAATAAATCAGTTGCCATTTATTTCCCTCTACAGAGAGAACTACTGAAACTAGATGCCCAACTTTTAAAAGCTTGGACAAAGTGAATCCTGCCTAAAGAAGGCAACAGAATGGAATTTAAATGTGTTCCAGAATGTTTTAGTTGGAAGCCCTAAGTACTGTTTCCATTTGGGTTCAGAGTTGCATCATGCTTTGCTATTTACTTTTTCAGGTGATTGATCATACTGGAGGTGTGGAGGAAGGAACACATGAAATCTATAATTGTGTGGAAAAGATAATTAAACAGGTAGAGTATATGATGCATTTCAGCTTTCGCCTGTTCTACCCTAATTTATGATCTGAAGTGATGTCAATGTGATTACTACATGTTGCTTAGATGTAATTTAAAGGATCATTTTGTGGTTTTATTATTAATATCTGGCAAGCAAATTAATCTGCAAGTGGAAGATAAAACCCCAAACTGATGGGTGCTTTTAGGGACAAGAACAGAAATAACAGGGGGAAGAGGTCTATCTGTGGCTTAAATTCTTTGAATTTCTCTTTAGCCATATCACAGAATATGGGAAGATTGTATAGTTCATTGTTTCCTTATCCTTCCTTGTGGTGAGTTGCTTCCACTATGAGAAGAAGACTAAAAACCAATGAAGAAGACTAAAACCAATGTCTTGAGATCTGGGCATTCAGAGTTAACTTGGTTTCATGTAACTGCTCATTTATTTATGTTCTGTGCTAGCCTTAAAGGAAATGAGCACAGTGATGTTAATAGAGCTGTGTCATACACAGTGGAATTGAGACTAACACCAAATGTGTCTGCACTGTTAAGAATTATAGCTGCAGTTTTCTCCATGTAATTTTCTTTTTACTTAGGATATATTGGGGTGTGAAATGACAGAACTAGAAGGCAAGGATTTAGTTAATAAGGAAGAGTCCGCTGCTCCTGAAGAAGAAGTTTTTGGTGATGTATTGTGGGATGCACATGATGAACAAGAACAGATGGAAGCTTTTCAGCAGGCCTCTAATTCAACATGTGAGCTGGGATTTGAGAAAGTAAGTACGTTGGAAATGGATATGGATGAAGAGGAAAGTCATCACTCCTATCCATCTCTCCTTAGGCAAGTTGTACTTCTGCAGAAGAAGCTGTGTCTGAGAGCATCCTTGAGGCTGTTACTCCTTAGGCTAGAAGAAGCCGTATGTCTTAAATAGATGGCATACTTATTTTCTGGGAGAGCTGCCAGTTTGTGTGTTGTTGAATGACATTGATGAAGCAGTTGTTATTCCTGCACTGGAGCAAAGCACTGTAACAGTGTGCCAGGAGTAGGATGTCCTAGAAAAGGCTTTGAATGTTTTGGGGTTTTTGGAGGAAATCTGAGCTCTGTCTTGACACCTGGAGTTAGGGCTTTTGGAGATGACTAATGGAAAGATTTCATCTCGTTGTGCAGCCATATGTACGTGAGAAGAACAGAGGAAACTTGAGAGTTGTTGACGAGCTCAGTCCTTACTCATTACTTGAAATGAAACTTCTGAAACATTTCAAATTGGGGGTATCAGACACAATTGTATGTAGGGAAGTTATAATGGATGCACGAAGACAAACATTAAAGTGATTGTTGAAGGTGATGCAACAGCTTATTTAGGCAATATTCCTTGATGTAATAATGTAACATAAGCATGCAGTTTCTATGTTAATTGTGTTTGAATTGTTAGTACCCCTATTTTACTAGCAGAATTTATTCTTTTACTTCACTACTCCTGTATTGGCAATGGTTTGGAGGATAGTGCCATCTTTACTACCTAGTAGAACAGGAATATAATAGCACATTAATAGGAAAAGTACCTATGTGTATCTTAATGTGCATCCACTTCTTTTTTTCAGCCAAAATAGTTCTCCCAAGTTGATGAAGGGTGGTTGTTGTTTTTATCATCCTGAACTCTGCTACGACATTGTTGGGCATCCATGTGGTGAAAGAAATGCTTTCTTTTGTGTGCTTACTGCCTCAAAATACCATTCATGGCAGGTGCCAACTTTGAAGGCTTTGTCCTGGCAACCATATCCAATGCAGTGGACCAGCTGGGATGGGGGGAAAGAGAGGCAAGGAAGCCTGAACAAACATAGTTCCCAGTTGCTTTGCTGTAGTAACATTAATGCAGTTTATTAGCACAGAAACTTCCATTTTAAATAGCTTTGAAAAAATGTTTTATTTATTTCACTACTTCTTTAAAAGAGATTATAAATTCTGTGGTTTAAGTGTTTAATTAGAGAATTTATTTGTACTGTATTGCATTTCAGTAGTTATTCCCTTACTTTAATAAATCTGTACATGCCTTTTGTATCTAGATTGTTTACAGTACCAAGCACTGTATTTCTCCTTTAAACTGTGGAAGATTCATAATGATTGTTGCTTTTTTTAATAGTATTTTGAACGTCTAAATGACCTTGTAGCAGCACCAGCACCAATTCCACCTCTGCTTGTATCAGGAGGACCAGGATCTGGGAAATCTCTCCTTCTGTCAAAATGGTAGTTTAAACTATTTTTTTTTTTTTCACATGAATGAAATTTGATTGGGAAAAAAAAAAAAAAGATTGCATTTCACACATTGTATCAGTTTAATTAGAGGTAAAATGGGAGAATTTACAAAGCACTGAAGTTACTGAAGCATCCTGGAAGGATGTGTAATAATTAAGTAGCTAATTCCATCTGGACTGCCTTTAACATCTCTCTGACTTCAGTATCATTACCCTACAGATCTGTCTTTGTGGTATCAGTAGCTCGATAGTGTTGCCCTTCTCTGATACAGAAAGGGGATCCTTTGGAGCCTTTTTAACCAACCTAGTAATTTATCACAGAAATGCATTTAGTGGTCCCTTGTAGGCTATGACAAAATGTGCTGACATAAAAATAAATTGGTAGTGTCATTACTTCTTAGCAGCTTAGTGACATATGACTGTCCAGTGCCAGGAAGGGCACTTGTTAATGGCTCTCAGTACTGAGAGAACAAAACTTGAACGTGACACAGAAAGTTCAATTGTAGCTCAGGAAATGTCTATCCTATTTTGCAAGATAACCACTGAACACCTCTAACTCAGACTGTCCATCTCCTTTGGGAAAACTGATTGCTTTGATTTGAGATACATTTGCGAAATTACAGTCTGTTATGTGCCCTTTTTTTATTTGTGATTTTATTTTTGATTGATTTATTTTTATTTTTATTTTTGATTGAATTAGGATTCAATTGCAACAGAAGCATTCCCCAAACACTCTAATTCTTTATCACTTTGTTGGGAGGCCCATGTCTACTAGTTCAGAATCTGCATTGATAATCAAACGCCTTACTTTAAAGGTAGGCTGTGTTATTACATACCCTGCACTGTATAATTCTTTGCAAAGTACCTGTGTATGTTTTTATGTGGAAAGATAAAATCTCCTACAGGTTTCAGGTTTTTCTACATCAGTTCAGAGTAATACAAATGTAAGGCATTATAGAATGGGGGAACCGGATCATATATGTTGAATACAGATCAATTAAACAGCATCCCTGGGATATTCACAATAGATAGACATTGGCAATTGTGCTTCTAGTAACCTATATTGACAGCTTATAAAACCATATAAGCTTCTTCCAAACTTTCCTGCCCTCTGGCCAATGAGAGAAGGAGGTGGTGCCTCTTCTGTCTGTGTGTTTTGAAACCTGAGGCTGTATTCATCAGTTGGCACCATATTGTTCCTGGACTAGTCTCTCTCCTATGATTATTAAAATTAGTATGTGGGGAATAAATGGGGAGTATTTTTGTGCCAGGGCCCAAGCTTTCTTCTTCCTTCACAGGGTGCCACTAAGGACCTCAGAGGATTAAAACCTTTAGAAAAAATGTCCACTGGAGGCTCTAAGGATTATCAGGGGTCTGGAGCATCTCTCTTTATGAGGAGGGATTGCAGGAGCTGGGCCTGTTTAGTCTAGAGAAGAGCAGACAGAGAGGGGATCCCATCAATGCAGATCAGTATCTCAAAGGCAGGTGCCAGGAGGATGGTGCCAGACTCTTTCCAGTGGTGCCCAGTGACAGGACAAGGAGCAATGGCCATAAACTGAAACACAACAAGTTTCACCTCAACATGAGGAAGAACTTCTTTACACTGAGGGTGTCAGATCCCTGAACAGGCTGCCCAGGGGGATTTTTGAGTCTCCCTCTCTGGAGACGCTCAAACTCCCCTGGACACGTTCCTGTGTGACCTGCTCTAGGTGGCCCTGCCTTGGCAGGGGGTTGGACTGGGTGATCTACAGAGGGCCCTTCCAACCGAGATGATTCTGTGTGAAAAATGAAATTAATTGTGCTCTCCTTGCAATTTTCTCATGTATTTCAGAAGTCTTCCTGTTTAATCTCTGCAACTTTTAAGCCTTTTAAGTCTCCAAATTCCTTGTCCTCAGGTTCTTTCTAGAATTTACACAGCGAGTTCAATAAATAGTCTTTGTTCTGCATATGCCAGCTTTTGCATATACTAGAAGGAAAGATTTCTGTGTGAACTTGGCTAGAAAAATTGCACCAGAATAGTGTGGGATTTTGTCTGTTTCTCTTGTGTATCTACAGGACTTCTTTCATGACAGTTTTTAAGGTAGAATTTGTTACATGTGTTTGTAATTCCGCAGCTTATGCAGCACTCTTGGTTAGTGTCACCTCTGACTTTCGATCCAGCTAAACTTCTGGAAGAGTTCCCTCGTTGGCTGGAAAAACTTTCTGCACGTCATCAGGGCAGCATTATTATAATTATTGATTCTATTGACCAGATACAGGTATGTCTTCAAAATACTTACCTTTTGTCAGTCTAGAGGAAATCTCAACTATTGTAATAGGTTCGGCTACATCTGTGTAACAGAAGTATTGATGTTTGCTTTGCTCTAAGTAGCACATCTAGAAAACAGAAAATATTTCTGCAGATAAATTTTATGTTCTTTTGGGATTTTTATTCTATCTTAACACCTTAATTTTTGAAACCTTTTGAAACACCTTTATTTATTGAAAGAGTCAAGGCTGGGAGCTGGCTTGTGGGCATCAAAACAGCCTAGTCTTTCTGAGGTAAACATTTCAACAGTAGTATTTTATCTGCTTTATTTTAGGTACAGTCATGCTGATACATGTCAGTGGGTCATTTAGGATGGCTTCACAAACCAGATTATGAACATTTTTTTTAAAGCTGGGGAGTTGGAACTAGGTGATCTTAAGGTCCTTTCCAACCCAAACCATTCTGTGATTCTATGACGCTGGAGAATTTAAGACTCTTTTCACTGAGCTGTACAGTTAATGAAATGTATCAACTGCCAGCATTGTTTTGAGCAACCTTTCTATTATGTTATTAAGTAACAAAATTTGTTTTTAAGCAAGCTGAGAAGCATATGAAGTGGCTCATAGATCCATTGCCGGTGAACGTGAGAGTGATTGTATCAGTGAATGTAGAAACATGTCCACAGGCTTGGAGGTATGTTACGTTTCTGAGATGTTTCAAAGTAGCCTGGGTTAGAATTATGGGTTTAAATTACAGTTACTTGGTGAAGAGCAAATGGCAGATTTGCCAAGACCTGGAGATTTAATAGGATATGGTTTTGCAACTATTGAGGACAACAAAAGCTTCCCTACTGCAACTGCAAAGAGGACAGGTTTTAGCTGTTTTGAAAAGAGCTTTTTGGTTTGTTGTGATGAATCTGTCCATGTGACTATATGAAAGAGGATATTAAATGCAGTCAGATGCACATGAAGAACCACAATACCATGATGTAGATCCAGGATAAGGCAAAAAGCGGAAATTTGACTTGTGATGACTGGAATTTCTTAGTAACAGGGAATAGCCTCAATTACTGCTTTGATATAAGTCTTAAGAAAGGCCTGGAACTTTGATGTCTTTGGTTTTTTTCCCTTTTGTGTGCTATTTAATAAGGTCTGAATATGACTTTGTTCTCTCTTGCTGAAGGTTGTGGCCCACTCTTCATCTTGATCCACTGAATTCCAAAGATGTTAAATCTCTCATTAGTGCAGAATGTAACTCTGCAAATGTTAAATTGACTAAAGAGCAGGTATGTCTGTTGCAGTTCTTCTAAAGCACCTTACTCTGGTATAACTTTTAATGGAAACATACAGGCCCAGGTGCCTAAAGAAAGTATATTTAGCTAACTAAATACTATGCTTAAGGCAGCACGCAGTTTTCTTACCCCACAGCTCATAGCACTGAAACACAGATGGAACAGCATAAATTATTAGCACAGATACAGTGCAGTTGCACATATTGCTGTAAACATGTTCTTTTATATTAGAATAATAGAAGGTTTAGTGTTGCATAATACTGAACAGATTGGTAGAATGGGGAAAAAGTATTGTACCTTTAATTTTACTTTGGAGGCCAATTCTATAATGTAATCCTCCTGTTGAGACTTGTGATGGTTAGATCTTAACTCTTAAATTAAAAAGGAAACTTTCACTTGTATGCTCCTATAGCTACAAAACTACACAGTATTTTGTGTGCTAGTTATCATGTCATAGTCTTCAGATCTTACAGAGAGAAGCAAAGTGTCGTGGTTCAAGCCCAGCCGGCAACTTGCAGCCACGCAGCCGCTCTCTCACTCCCCCCCCCCCCCCCCCCCACCACCCCCCAGATGGGGAAGAGAATCGGAGGAATGTAACTCCCATGGGTTGAGATAACAGCACTCCAGTAACTAAGGTATAATACAAACCACTACTGCTACCAATAATAATGATAAGAGGAATAACAAGGGGAGAGGACACAACCGCTCACCACCCGCCGACCGATACCCAGCCCGACCCGAGCAGCGATCCGGGCCTTCCGGGTAACTCCCCCCAGTTTATATACTGGGCATGACGTGCTGTGGTATGGAATACCCCTTTGGCCAGTTTGGGTCAGGGGTCCTGTCTCTGCTTCCTCCTGGCTTCCCCTCCTCCCTGGCAGAGCATGTGACTGAGAAAGTCAGAGTAAACATTATTGAGCAACAACTAAAAATATCGGTGTTATCAGCGTTCTTCATAGGCTGAAAGTCAAAACCACAGCACTGCACCAGCTACTAAGGAGAAAAAATGACTGCTGTAGCTGAACCCAGGACACAGAGCTATAACTTTTACTTTCTTGTGGAACAGTGAACGTGTCATTGGTGCAGTTAATTCCATCTTGGCTTACAGATTTTGTTTAAAATATTGTAGGAGAAGAAGCTTGAGAGACATTGTCGTTCTGCTGCAACTTGCAATGCTTTGTATGTCACTCTCTTGGGCAAAACCATTGCCTGGTAAGTTGGGATAATCTTGAAATTATTATGCCCATCTCTAGATGAGAAGACTTCAAGTAGGACTGTTAGCATTTTGAAATACTCTTTTAGCATAGACTGAATCTTGTTTAGAAAAAACAGTGGAGCAGCAGTTTTCCCCCTTCACTGACTGTACATGCAATGGGAAGAATAACTAGAGTATACAATCACCATTTTGATACTAAGTGAATCCAAATAGTTCTATCTGTCTGTTTTCAGCTTTTCTGGTTTGATTTTATTTTTCTGTTATTCTGCTTTCTGGGTATGTCAGTTGCTTCAGTGCTTTTTAAAGGTATTTGGGGAACGTTGGTATTGTTTTATTAAACAATTTAGTTCAGGTCTGTTGTATTTACTGATGTACCAGATATTTTGCCTCATAGATTTTTAAGGCTACAGGAAGTTCAACAACTGTTTAGTATAACATCCTGCATATGGTACTTTGCCCTATAATTCCTGCT